CGTGCTAAAACTCCTGCTTATATTTGGTCATGTGGTGATAATATTTTAAGAAAATTAACTTATATTCCATGGAATTGCTCTTCTGTACCAGAAGTTTACAACCCATGTATTACAGGATCAGGGAATTCATATATTCTCTAAATCTTTGCACTTTGAGTGTTTACACCACCACTCTCACATAAGAAGTCCTGTTTTGCAGGCATTCATGTTGTCTAGATAGCCTTCCTTGGGTGTAGGTCACTGGAATATTCCTCTTTATTTATTGACAGCTTTGCTGTAGATTTTATCTACTCTTCAATCTAGCTGCTGCTTGGGTTCCTTCTGTAACTCAGCCACAATTCTTCCCCAGTGATTGATTCCTCTCTACTTTAACATTCTGTTCCTTGTCACTGAGAATCAGGGCTTCAGACCAATTCGAGTCAGTTCATTAATAGTCAATGAAGTGAATCAGAAAAGATCCAAATTTTAAATTTGGGGTGAAACTGAATGACTACTGGAATGGGAAAAATATGGGTTGTAGCCCTGAACTAGGACACTTGAAGGAGACATATAGAGCTTGATGTGGAAGACTGGACTATTGCCAGGTCAGAGGAATCATTTATTGCACACTACCCTTGGTTTCTAAGAGGGAGATAATTTTTCCCAGTCCAGTTATCATTCCACTTTACCCACATTTTACAAATTTGGGTCTGTTCTGTTTTCACTTCATTTCCCTTGACTGGCTTGGAAAGAGACTGTCAAAGTCCTGCTGAGACTTTTTTACAACTCCCAAATTGCCATAATTTTCAGGATTCCTGGTGTGGTGCTGTGGGACTTCACTGGACCGCAAGTTTAGTTTGAATCACAAGACTGGCGGTTCAAACTCAGCAGCCACTCCTTGGAAGCCCTATATAGGGTCGTTAAGAGTTGCTATGACTTGATGGCACTTACCATCAACTTCCGACTCATCTTTAAACAGAATTTCCAATCTGTGTAATTCATTCTAAATGTATCTTCTTCCTTCTCTCTCTATCATCTTATCAGTTTTAGTTCTTGCTTTTGCCAGTGTCCTCAATTCCTCTAATTTCAGTGGTTTTCTCAAACGAACCTGATAAAATCTTAATCGTCGCTCTTCTAAATGTCTGAGCACTACTGGAAAAAATTGCATAAGCAGTAACAATCACTATGTTTATTGTTCCAGACTTCAAATGGATCATCCTGATTGTACTGTAATTCTTTCTTATTTTTGTCTAGTTCTCTCTGTTTTGCACAGAGGTAATTTTAGGCACTCCTACCATCCCCAGTGTTCCACTTTCTTCCGTCTCTCAGCAACTGAGTTGGTACTTGATTTCACAGAGATAAGGCAATCATTAGATGAGAATTCCCACAATTCCCTTCCTCGAAACACTGTACAGGGTTGCAATGAATCAGAATCAGCCGACGGCACTTAGCAACAATCCTTCTAAATATTCTCCCTTTCTCCACTCTAACTAATGCCTTTTTTTTTTTTTTTGCTTTTCCTTTTTTCCCATCAATATTTGTACATTTAAAAGTTTGTTCCATCTTTAAAAACTATGTGTTTAGCCCTCTTCTCTAACCATTGCACTTTCTCCTGCATTACTGTTAAGGATGTAGGATGTAAAGGAGCTCTGGTAGCGTAGTGGTTATGAATCGGGCTGCCAACCTCAAGGTCAGCAGTTCGAAACTGCCAGCCGTTCCATGGGAGAAAGATTTACAGCCTCGGAAACCCTGTGCAGGGTCATTGTGAGTCAGAACCGGCTCCACGGTACGTAACAACAACAACAAATGTTAAGACATAGAAAGAATTGTTGGAATATTGGTGTTTCACAAACCTAAATTGGAGTCTTCCCTCTGCCATTTATGAGACTTTTATGCTCTCCAAGTCTCAGTTTTCATATCCATACATTTATGCCCAGCTATAAGTTAAAGCTTAAGTAAAATAGTACGTTTAAATCGTAAACACAAAACAATACATACTGAATAGTTGTTTCTAGGTGCCTTTGAGTGGGTTCAGACTCATAGCGAACCTATGCACAACAGAACAAAACACTGCATGGTCCTGCAATTACCAATTTTTGATGACTGTATTTGCTTTAGTCTCTGGAAGTCTGCCTTCTTTTCCTATCCTTGAATATTTGATAGGTTTTTGTTTCTTTAATTATAATACTCAGTACTACTGACTGCTTCTCTTCTTCAAAGCTCTCTTCTTCTATTATTGTTCCTGACTCGTTCTTCAGGCTCACCCTTTGCCTTTGAATACTCTCTCAGGCTCCTTGGACTCCTCTCTTTTGCCCATCTGTAAAGTGTATATTCCTCAAGATTCTGTTAGTGGTCCTTTTAAAGTAATTAAAATTGAGCTATAATTTTGTCTATGACTTGTCTACAAGCAAAAGGGAAGCATGATAATAATAGTAGTTTTCAGCCAGTGATCACATACGGTGTGTTAGGCATTCTTAGAAGCATTTGACATGGATTGCTTCATGCATTCCTCACAACAGCCCTATGAGGTGTATGAAGGCAGTCAAGTACAAGAGATTAACTAAATTGTCCAATGTTTTACTGCAAGTAATTCAATTCTAGACAGTTCTGTTCTGGGCCTTTCTATCCTAACCCTAACACACACAGCCTTCCAAAACGTGATGAGCACTGTTTAGAAGGGTACAGCTTTCTTCAGAGAAGCTAAAGTTTCTTTTGTGACTTAGGTTTGAAATGGTATGTGTGATGATCCTTTGGGAAAAAGTACATTGGCCTCAGCTATGATTCTGTAATAAACACAGTAGTAACAAACATTCCATTTTCTGTAGAAACCTTCACTGTAAAAGAACATTTACTATACTAAAGCAAAACACACAGTACACTTGTTCTTTAATTACAACTCTGAAACATCCCTTTGGTAGAAATTTGGGAGCAAAATCATTTCTAAATTATGTTTCATAGTTTAAAGAAAACAGAAATTACATCTTCCTCATCTTTGTACATACAGTTCCACCCCAGGACTAATCACCCAGAAATAATTCAGTGAATATATAAGAAACGAATGTGGCCACACATAACCGATCAGCTCTTAGGATAGAATGTATTAGCATCTCATTTCTGGGGTAGAGCTAATGGCTGGTTGCAAGATATTGTAAGTTCAAAATGGGAGAAACGTAGTCCACGTGTCCTGCTTGCCCTACCAATTTCTATATTTAGATATTTCCCAATTTTTTCCAAAGCATTTCTTTCTTTCTTATTATATACAAGATGCATGGCTTTGCAGGATGAACAAAAGCAAAGTGCCTGCCCTTAAGATGTCTTATTCTGGCCAATCAATGATACAGTGAGATCAGTGTTCTGAAGGAGACAAATGTTATATTCCGGTATTCAGTTAGTGGGACTAGAAGAAGCATAGAGAACTTCAAATACTCATTAGAGTCGTAGGGTCAAGTGTAAACAGGAAATGAGTCTTGTGGCAGATCTTGAAATCTTGTGATTGTTTTAAGGTTTTCACCCCACCCCTTTCCCCATTTCTCAGTAATCCCTTTCTTAAGTGCTGCAGTATAGTGAGTGAAGGGGCAGATCAATGTAGGTCGTGTGCCCAAGACCACAAATTTATTTTTTTGCTGAATAACACAATTAAACAGCACGATTGATCTCTTTAGTTACAATTTTTCATTGCACATATGAGAAGACATTCACGTGGCTTTTCTTCTCTAAATGATGAACGCCTCAAGAGCAGAGACTTGGTTGTTTTTGTTTTTTTTTCTTTTTTTCATTTCTGTACCCTAGACAGGATGTTGTTGTTGTTGTTATGTGCCGTTGAGTCGGTTCCGACCCATAGCGACCCTGTACAGGGTTTCCGAAGCTGTAAATTTTTACGGGAACAGACAGCCTCCTCCTTCTCCCGCAGAGCGGCTAGTAGTTTCGAACTACTGACTTTAAGGTTCGCAGCCCGATTCGTAACCACTACGCTACCAGAGCTCCTTCTAGGCAGGAAAATAACTCAGTAAATGTAGATAAAAGGTATTTGCAGTCATTTTATGATGGAGCCCTGGTGGCACAGCACTTAAGTGCTCAATTGCTAACTGAAAGGCTCATACCTATCAGCAGTAGCCCCTTTGTCACCACCTGGTTACAGATGTGGCAGTCCTCTTCCATAAAGACTACAGCCTGGGAGACCCTATGCTCTATTCTGGTCTGAAGGGTTGCCATGAGTTGGTTTGCTAGATAGCAAAAGGGTTTTGGTTTAGTCATTTTATATCTTTTACTAGGAATCAAAACATAATTGTAATTTCTTTTTTAATTAAAAAAAAATCAACAAAACAGTGACTTACGAATCAACTAACAAACTATTATGTGAGTTGGAGACTCCTGTTGATGTTCTTGCTGTGTGCCATCGAGTCAGTTTTTGAATCATAGTGCCCCTGTGTGGCAGAGTGGAACTGCTTAATAGGATTTCCTGAGCTGTAATATTTACAGTGGAGGCCTGGTGTGGCATTGTAGGATAAGCACTGGACTGTTAACCAAAAAATCAGTAATTCAAACCCACCAGCCACTCCTGGGAAGCCCTATACAGGATACCAACATGGAACCCACAGGATGGCACTTAACAATAACAGCATCTACTGAAGTAGATCGCTAGGTCTTTCCTACATGGAACTTCTGGGTAGGTTGAAACCACCAACTTTATAGCTTAACTCAGCAAGGATTTCTTGAGTTTAAGTGGAGAAAAATTACTAAACAGAAAAATTAAGGTTGTTTATATTTTGTTGTTTATATTTTATTAGTTACCAGGAGATGCGCTGCTTAATAGAAAAATTCAATTATAGAATTTGGTCAACTATGAGATTCCTGGTGTGGTGCTATAGGATCAGCACTGGACTGCAAACCGCAAGGTCAGCAGTTCAAACCCACCAACTGCTCCTTGGAAACCCTATGCAGGGTCACTATGAGTCAGACCCGAATCCGTGGCACTCAACAACAGTGTTTCATTTGGAATGTTTACTTTTCTTTTAATTTAGACGTATGAAGAGGAGAGAAGGAACTGCTCTGAGCTTCAAAATAGATGTCAACGTTTGGCCTTAGAATTGGCAGACACAAAGCAGTTAATTCAGCAAGGTGACTACCGTCAAGAGAACTATGATAAAGTCAAGAGGTAAGTAGTTACGATGCTTGCAGTGCTTGCTGTTTTTTGCATTTATCAGAATCTCCTGAAAACTTACCATCAGCTTTCTTAATCCTACTTTATACCCTAGTATTCATTTCACAAAAATGTAACTTTTGGGATTTGTTTGCTGGGCTGTATATTTAGTTATATATTTCTTATGTTTGTTTTAGTCAGTAGTTGTGACCCAGTAATGTGGTAACTGATGTTCCATGGAAGGTATTAACAGTCATTGAAATTAAACAAAAATTAACACAATTAACATCAGTGGACAAAATGAATAATTAGGAAATGACCATTACAAATCACAGTAGGACAATTTGAAGATACTTTAAAATAATTGTGTTTAAGATTATCAGAAATATTTAGAAAGGGTATAAGGAATTTATGAAGCAAAACAAAACATGAAACAAAATAGACAAACTATGAAAAGAAATTGATTAGAACTCTCAAATTTAACAATCGATAATTGAAGGAAAAAATTTAATGGACAGAATGAAATCTAGCCTGAAGATAATTGAGAAGAGAATTGATTAATTAAAATGGGGACTTTTTCCAGAGCAGAACCTAGTCATAAAATAATGACAAGAATGAAAGAGTGGTTAAAACTCTTGAAAGATATATTTTGTTATTTTTGTAGTTGTTGTTGTTAAGTGCCATTGAGTTGGTTCCAACCCATCTAATCCATAGCGAACCCTGTATAGGGTTTCCGAGGAGTGGCTGGTGAGCTTGAATTGCCAGAGTACTTTTTTTTTTTCCAAGTTTTTATTATGGATTGAGTGAAAGTTTACAGGACAGATCATCAGTTTTACATTCAACAAATCATACACCTTGTTTTATTACAATGATTATAGTCCCCTCCATGTACCATCAGTTAACAGTATTTCTCTCTATTCACTTTAGCTTTTTTTTTTGCCAGAGTACTTTTATGGACTCCTAGTGTGGTACTGTAGGATCAGCACTGTCCTGTGAATCACAAGATCTATAGTTGAAACTACCAGTTGCTCCTCAGAAACCCTATACAGGGTCGCTATGAGTCAGAACCAACTTGATGGCACTTATCAACAACAACAAAGTACTCTTAAAAGAATTCTAAAAAAAAAAAAAAAGAATAGACAGAATTAAGGAAAAGCAGTTTTTAAGAAATTCATCCAGAACTGAAGCATGATCCCTTACATTGAAAGTACACAAATGTTAAGCAGATTTAATAAAAAATAAGTTACTCCTAGCTGCAGTCTAGTAAACTTGAGGACATAAAGGATAACCTAAAAATCACAATAGCTATCAGAGGAAAAAATGACATTTTCCACAGAGCAGCAACAATTAAGCCAATAGCAAACTTTTCTTCACCAATAGCAAGTACTAGAAGAAAATGGCATGTTTTCAAAGTACTGAGGTAAATAACTTCACCCACAAATCAGAGCCTCCCTAACCTAGCAATCAAGAGAAAGTTAAATAAGTATAACTTAAGAAATACAAGATCTGTATACACAGAATTCACCTGAAAGAACTGTTAAAGATGTATTTGGGAGAAGACAAGTGAACCTAGAGGTAAGGTGTAAAAACATGAAGCACAGTGTGTACATAAATTGATAAACTACGTAGGTAATTATCTGTTGACTTTTTAAAAATAACAAGATAGTGTAAATCCAAATGTTTTAGTAATTAAAGAAGCATGAAGCACAGTGTGTACATACAAAACAAGATTGTGTAAATCCCAATGTGTTAGTAATTAAAGAAATTGTCGCTGTTGCTATTAAGTGCTATCTAGTCCTGGTGTGGCACTGTTGGTTAATGCACTGGACTTCGAAGTTGGCTTGAACTGGAAGGCCTTTGTTCCAGTTGACCAGCTACTCCTTGGAAACCCTATACAGGTTCTCAATGGGTCAGAACCTGACTTGATGGCCCTTAACATCAAGTCAGTTCAAATTCATAGTGACCGTGTGTTGGATTTCTAAGGATTGGCTGGTGAACTTGAATCTCCAACCTTGTTAGCAGTCTAGTGTGTATCCTATAGTGCCACACCAGGACTCCTAAGGAAATGTAGACAAATAAAATTCATATTAAAGACATTTATCAACATGATGCTCTCCCCACACTGTTTTTTTTACATTGTGGTGAATATATAGGTAACAAAACATTTACCATTTCAACAATCTTCATCTGTACCATTCAGTGACATTAATATGATGTGGCTTCAAAAAGCTTGTGGAAAATTCCTTTATCTTTTAGTTCCATTTTTCCACAAACTTTTTGAAACCCCCTTGTCTGTTCTTCATGTGTTCAACAATTACGATTGCTGAATTTTCCCATCATCCTTAAAAGGAGCTCAGTGTCCCTGGCATCGTGTTTTCCTCTTCTCCCGCCTCCTACCAGTCTCTGGTAGCCACTAATAAACTGTAATCTCTGTACAATTATATCCTGCTCTTAAGAGACATACCTGAAACAAAAACACAGAAAAGTCGAAAACTAAAGATGCTAAAAAGATACAGGGGAACATTGTAAAATAATAAAATGAACAATTGGCCAGCAAGATGTTATCACGATGAATTTATATTCTCTTGATAAAATTATTTAGAAACATATCAAACAAAATGGGACGAAGAATTATAAAGATAATGAGTTGGAAATTTTAATGCACCTATCTGATAAACAAGTTGTTGTTGTTGTTATGTGCTGTGGAGTCGGTTCCGACTCATAGCAACCCTGTACAGGGTTTCCAAGGCTGTAAATCTTTACAGGAGCAGAAAGCTTCATCTTTCTTCTGTGGAGCTGCTGGTAGTTTTGAACTGCTGACCATGAGATTAGCAGGCCAATTCATAACCACTGCACACCAGAGCTCCACCTTTATAAATATCAATATTTATTACAAAGGTATAATTAACCTAGAACCCACTTAATTGGACTTAATAACAACAGCAAGTATTAATGCCAGAGCATGGTGGTTCTTTCGGATACGCATTGGACTATGAATTACAAGTCTGGTTGTTAGAGCCACCAGCTGCTCCATGGGCCAAAAGATGAGACTTTCTGCTCCCGCAAAGATTTACAGCCTCTGACACACTATACTAGGGTCACTATGAGCCAGAACCAATGCAATAGCATTTAGCAACAATATTAATATACACATAGTAGCTATGTGAGGATTGTAGAGTAGAGAGCGCTCAAAACGATCTCAACATGTGGCTCCTTAGTATGAGGTAGAAGAGGCTTTACTAAATAGTGAGGAAAGAACAGTAACCAGTGATATTGTCATTGACTTATCCCGGCCAAAAAAGATGATTTGATATCTACCATATTCCATGTCCCAAACTAGAGTTCTAGAAGTAGTAGAGACCTATATATGTGAGGGGAAAAAAGCTTGAAATTACTAGAACATATGTGAAGTTGGCTTTATAAATAACATTTAATTCAAGATTCCTTAAAATATGGAAAACACATTATAGAGGAGAAGATGGATAATGAAAGTGAAAAAGGCTATACCACCAAAAATACCAAAAACAAAATGTAAAAACAACAAGCAGTAGACTAAGAAAAAATGCTACAACATGAACAACAAATAGTGTATAGATCAGGGCAATTAATTACATAGAAGGACAGAACAGAGGACACCACATAATACTGCTCACGAAAGTTCAAGACGGTCATGCTGCTCCCGCTCTCCCCATCCCTGTTTAGTTTCTTTTCCCCACAAGTACTCAATCCATTTCTCTAACCTTTCCTCTGATTTTCTGGGTTCCAGGCTTTTCATCTATGTCTGTTTCGTTTGGTCTCTGGTATCTTTATTGTAGAGAGTTCATGTCTTCAGACACTAATTTTGAAGACGTCTAAAGATTTACAGCCTCAGAAACCCTGTGCAGGGTCGCTATGAGTCGGAACCAACTCCACAGCACACAACAACAACAACAACAACATTGAAGGAGCCCTGGTAGCGTAGTGATTACAAATCAGGCTGCTAACCTCATGGTCGGCAGTTTGAAACTACCAGTTGTTCCGCAGGAGAAAAACGAGGCTTTCTGCTACGGTAAAGATTTACAGCTTCAGAAACCCTATTTAGGGTTACTATGTGTCGGAACCGACTCCACCATGGTACTTAACAACAACAACAACAAATGTAGGCTTTGGCCCAATGTTTGGTTTTGCTGTTTGGGGGAGCAAGATGTCCTGAAAGTGGAAATCAGAATATCTGAGTAATTGTAATTTGTGATTAAAATAGTCCTATGTGTCTCTGAGACATAAACTCTTAACTAAACCAAAAGCTTAGAGCCATGTATAGATTCTTTAAAAGTTTTGACTTTTAGATGATGTTGAAGATAATTAGTGAAAAGATACCAAAGTGTACCTTAAACATTTTTATTACTTACTTTACTGATTAGGGTAATTTACATACTTATTTTTTAAAAATTTAAATTCATTAATGATTCTGAACAAGGTCTTGAACAAAGAATGCCCTCTAAATTTGAAAAGTAAGTATTTTTGGTTCATAGAATGAAGCCAAAGATTACTTCTCTGTTCATATTCCTAAAACAGTTAACCTTTTAAAATGTTCACTCCAAAAAGAGATGTATATTTTACATTGTTGTTGTTATGTGCCATTGTTTCCGACTCATAGTGACCCTGTACAGGGTTTCCGAGGCTGTAAGTTTTTACGGGAGCAGAACGCCTCATCTTTCTCCTGTGGAACAGTTGGTAGTTTTGAACTGCTGACATAGCGGTACGCAGCCCAATTTGTAACCACTACGTTACCAGAGCTCATTGTTTACTTACGTTTTTTATTTTCTTAGCGAGCGTGATGCACTTGAAGTAGAAGTAAATGAGTTTAGGAGAAAATATGAAATACTTGACATCTCTCACAAAACTCAAGCTAAAGAAAGAAGTGAATTATCAAAAGAGGTAAGCTTATTGTCACTTTTTAATTTTTAAAAATAATATTAGTGGAAAATAGTCCAGTGCAGAATTGTGGCAGGGACATTTCTCTCTTATGATATGATTGCCAAAAAGAAGGGACTTTAGGTACCTAAGTTTGGATCAGAAATTGAAAGATAATAGGTATCTCAGTTTGGATCAAAATATTGAAAGGTAAGAATTAGCCCCAGCCCTTTTTTTTAAACTTTTATTGTGAATTCAGTGAAGGTTACAGAAAAGATTATCAGCTTTTACATTCAACAAATCATACACTTTATTTCATCTCCGTGATTATAATCGCTTCCCTGCAACAACAATTATCCTACTTCCTTCCTGTGGTTCCCCCATTTACATCTTACATTTCACAACTGAACAAAGCAAAAATATTTGATGCACACATACAAAACAAAAAAAATATATTCATTTAAATTTCCAAACGGCACGTTCTGCAAGTCAGTTCTCTTACCCGCAGGCACACAGCCCTACTTAGTCCATGAGCCTAGAGCCCGAAGCTGCTCTGTCTCTCCATGCCACTGTTGCCAAGAATTAGCCCTTTTTAATAGAGATATTTTTTATGAGTGCAAATGAAAGACAATAGTTCAGTCTTGAAAGTAAGAGAACATTGCTCTTGAATGGTTTGTCTCTACATACATATAGGTAGCCACTTTACAGCAGACTGTTACTTTATTGCAAAAAGATAAAGAATATCTAAATCGCCAAAACATGGAACTAAGTGTTCGCCGTGCACATGAAGAGGACCGTCTTGAAAGACTACAAGCTCAACTTGAAGAAACCAAAAAGTCTAGAGAAGAAATGTATGAAAAATATGTAACATCCAGGTAAGACTTTTGTTATTTTTCATGTATATGTTGTTGTTGTAAGTGTTGTCGAGTCAGTTCTGACTCATAGCGACCCTGGATAGGATTTCCAAGGAGCAACTTGTGGGTTTGAACTGGTTCGCAATCCAGTGCTGATCCTACAGTGCTACACCAAAAATGGTATTTTCTCTGGGAAGACTATTGGTTTAGGGGAAGAACAGTGATTTTTTTTTTTTAAGGTCTGTGTTGTTGTCAAGTGCTGTCAAGTGGATTCTGATTCATAGTGATCCTATATAGGGTTTGCCAGGAGAGGCTGCTATAGGATGACGTTAAGATAATACTTCTTTTGTTTCCTTATAAGATATTCTTATGCTAGTTGACTAATTGATCTTTTTTTCTTTTTTTAAGCTAAGTGGTTTTTTCAACATAAACACCCAAATGCCTGTTTCTGTTAGATAAATGTATATATACTATACCTATCTTTTATTGTGACATATGTGCCCTGTAACTGAGTTCTCTGTTGTTGTTAAGAACCACCATTGTTGTTAAGTACAATGATCCGGTATAGGGTCTCTGAGGTTTTAAATCTTTCACAGGAGTAGCCCCCTCTGTATTTGAATATCTCTTTATGACTATCTTTTGAAAGAAAATTTTTTCATAGGGAGCCTGAGTATGCTGACCTATTTCTGACTGTGTAAAGTTTTAAAACAATTAGGCAGTATTGCTTCCTGATTTAAGATGTGGGCCGTGGAATCAGAGTATTGCGTTAGAATCCTGTCTTCACTCTTCTACTAAATGTATAAACTTAGCCAAGATGTTAACTTCTCTACCACCTCAGTTTTTTTTTTCTCTGTAAAAGAAACAGCCATAATAACTGCAAATTAATAGGGTTCCTATGAATTTTCAATATGCATGTAAAACTTTAGTATACTTTCTGGCACATAGTAGATGATTACATTATTATTTTTTACTGTTTCATATGCATATATAATTCATTTGTTTTATTAGAGCACCTTTTATAATTCTTGAGTTATTTTTATCAGCACATTCAAAAGTTCAGTAAAATTTAAACTTTATCCTTCACTACTCTCCATATTCATAACTTTTTGCCTAGCTTCAATAATTTTCCATTAGTTTGTGCTCTTTTGTTAATACTCTGTATAATTCTTTGACTTTTCTAAGAGATGACAATTGCCTTGTTGCAAAGAATTAGTTAGAATCATTTGTTTTTATATTTTTGTTGAAGTTATTTGCCTCTCAACCAGCACCACACCATATTATTATTTTTAAATGAGACCATTTCATGTGAATCAGCTTTTAAGCCCCTGGCTATATGCATTAAAAACTATTAGTAAGATATTTTTGAAGGTAAATAATTATTCATCCTGTGAATTACTAAGATTTATATAGTAATTAATCCTTTAAGGCAATATGTTTAACAAGTTCAAGCTATTTTACGATAGTTTAAAACAGTTTTTAGGAATTATAGAACTTTATTTTTAAAAGTTAAGTTTTGTATATAGAGAAAGGATGTTTGATATATAATAATATTACATGGAAGGCAAAAGTTTGTTTTACATTTTAAATTTAGTGGGCATTCCTTTGACTCTTTGTAGGGACCATTATAAAACAGAATATGAAAATAAACTGCGTGATGAACTTGAGCAAATCAGATTGAAAACTAATCAAGAGATTGAGCAGCTTCGAAGTGCCTCTAGGGAAATGTATGAACGAGAAAACAGGTAAACAAACAAAAACGTGCCATGTTTGTGTGTTATTTTATTTCTCTTTTTTATTGGAGATTATAGGAGTTTTATTAAAATTATAATCTATTGTTTGAATATATTAATTCTATTTATTGTTTGAGTACATGAAAGAAAACCTGGTATAAATCTAAACCCATGAGAACATTGAAGTTTTGAAATTTTTTATAATTAGTTTTAGAACAAGATTTATTAGACTTTATGCATGTTTGTAAAGCATCCTTTGGGGATATTACAGGGTGATTCCAGACCACCACCATAGTAAAGTGTGTAGTGCAATCATGAGTCACAGAATTTTTTGGTTCCCCAGTGCATGCAGATATTATGCTTACACTATACTGTAGTGTATGAAGTGTGCAAAATCATGATGAAAAAGTTTAAAGTATTGTGAGGATTACACAGATTTGATGCAGAGGCACGTAAACTTATGCAGTTGGAAAAATGGAACCAATAGACTTGTTTGACGTAGGTTTGCCACAGCCTTCAAGTTGTTATAAAACACAGTATCTCTGAACTACAATAAAGTAAAGTGTAATAAAACAAAGTACTCCTGTACTTTGATATTCCCACTATCTCTTTATTACCCTGATAACTTGTTCTTTTGTCTTTACTTCAGTTAAGATTGAATGTAAAGATGAAAAGGAAACAGGGCTAGAAATTTACTTCTGAAAACTTAGCCACTGAAAGCCCTGTGGAGCACAGTTCTACTTTGACATTTAAAGAGCCACTGTGAGTTGGAATCTACTCGTTGGCAATTGGCTTTTAAGAGCTTTGAGTACTACTTCTTGTAGCATGCACACTACTTCTCACAGAAACTTTAAAGGTGCAAGAGTGATATGAAATGTTACATAGCCCTACTTAGCTTCTGGCCTTGAGCGATATCATAATATTAGGTAATTCTGAAGAAAGATCTTTTTTTATTTATGCAGTCACATTGAGATCTGTATATGTTAGGTTAGTTATTGGCAGTATGAGAGGCAAATAATGTTACTTAATACACTTAATAATATACTTAACAACAATATTGCAATAGCAATTATTTTTATATACCATCATTGTAATTCATGTAGTTTTTCAAAGTTTATATTTCAAATGGGGAAAATATTTTGAATATGATTTAGTTGTCACAGTGGTACTTTAAATATAACTAAAATTATCAGAAGCATCATATCTACTGGGAGTATATTAGTGGGAACATTTGAGAGTCCGCTCCTTAATCCCAAAGTGAAAAGCTGCTCTATTACTGTAGTATTAATAAATTGACTTTTACTGGGAGAAATATGTAAGAGTTACATATATAGAATTATCCTTAGAGTAGTAAATTAGCAAAAAAAAAATTTTTTTTTAAATTACTTTTAAATTGTTATTTTAATGTATCAGCTTAGGAAATATTTTATGATAATGTTGAAATTCTTTTGAGCAATATAATTTATTTCTTAGGTTTCTTCTGTGAAGAGATGGATGTGTTTTTAGGTTTAGACTTGGTGTAACTTACTGTAAGTTAATGAGTTTATCATTATTTTTCTCATAAATTTGCATATATGCATAGGTTTTTTATCTACTTGTTTGATTCTTCTAAAAGTTTTAAATGTAACTATATACTCAAGAAAACTAACAGATTTGTAAACACAGCATGAAATAAATAATTCGCTTGTGCATTCAACAAATACTTAGAGGTTCTTTTTTTAAGCTAGTATTGTTCTTATACCTTTTTGAGCTATTAAAGAATTATGATGCAGTCATAATTTAGGATTTTATTAGTAATGAAAATGGCACAGAATAGTGATTGTTGTTGTTTTTATGTGCCATTGAGTTGATTCCGGCTCATATTGACCTTTTATAGGGTTTCCGAGGCTTTAAATCTTTGAGGGAGCAGAATGCCTCATTTTTCTCCCTCAGAGTGGGTGGTGGGCTTGAACCACCGACCTTGTATTGTTCAGTACTATGTGGGACCATAGGATAAGCGGTCGGCCTCAAGGTCAGTTTGAACTACAATGTTGGTTGTTCAGACTTACCTGCTGCTCTTCGTTGTCAGTTGGAACTGACTCAATGGCACTTAACAACAGCATCATGTTACCATCAAATATATTCTTTGGGTTCCAGAAAATCAGGGAAATTAAATTTATGGGATTTTTTTCTAATTATATGTATATATTTGTTGTTGTTGTTGTTATGTGGCATGGAGGCATTTCCGACTCATAGTGACCCTGTACAGGGTTTCCGAGGCTGTAAATCTTTACGGGAGCAGAAAGCCTCATCTTTCTCTCACGGAACAGCTTGTAGTTTCGAACTGCTGACCTTAAGGTTTGCAGCCCAATTTGTAACCACTATGCCACCAGAGCTCCTTATATTACATTAGTAAAAAGAATAAATAATTTCATCTTTGGAAAAATAATCATTTTGTGTATATTTTTTGTGTTTATATTTTAGTATTTAAAATTGAAATTCAGTGGGATCACCATAGTCAATTCTGGGATCAAAGCCTCTGAAGCCCTAAGTTAGCCTTTATAACTCAATCCTGATACTTTTCAAGGTAGCTCAAAGAAATTTGGGGCCATTGTTTAAAATGCACTGGTTTTTACTTTGTTTCTTACACTTATTTTCTTTTTTAACTTTGTTTGTATTTGTCTATATGTTTCTACAAAATACAGCAGATGTCAAGAATAGTACATTTATTTTAAATGCACATTTAACAGATGACAAAAATTAAATACCTATTTAACCTGACTCAGATCAAGAAATAGAACATTGCCAGTGCCACAGAAATACCTTTTTAACCTCTTTCTGTTTAACGCCATTTTTCATAAATGTAACTAATTTTCTGGTTTCTTGTTGTTATTAAGTGCTGTGGAGTCAGTTCTGACACATAGCGACCCTGTACAGGGTTTCCGAGGCTATAAATCTTTACAGGAGCAGAAAGCCTCATTTTCTCCCTTGGAATAGCTGGTAGTTTCGAACTGCTGACCTTGCAGTTCACAGCCTGATTTGTAACCACTACGCTGTCAGAGCTCCTTAATTTTCTGGCTTATATGGTAATTATTTACTTGATTTTCTTTACACTTTTAGCATCTGAATATGTATTTCTCAAAAATAAACTTTTTCCCCCTATGGTATTAGTATATGAAAAGGAGCTCTGGTAGCATAGTGATTACAAGTCAGCCTGCTAACCTCAAGGTCAGCAGTTTGAAACTACTATAACGGTTCTGCTGGAGAAAGATGAGGCTTTCTGCTCCCATAAAGATTTACAGCCTCGGAAACCCTATGCAGGGTCGCTATGAGTCGTAACTGACTGCATGGCATACAACCACCACCACCACCACCACCACCACCAGTAAGTATATGGAAAGACCACTATGCAATGTGAAGGTTAGATTGTAGCATAGTTGTAGTAGAAGCATAGGGTTGTAGACAGAGAGACCATTTTTACTGGTAGTTTTCTTCATCATCATCGGTGGTGATGAAACTGGATTACTAGTAGTAGAGATAGAAAGGGACAGATCAAAAAATGTTTGTGAGGAAAACCCAACAGGACTCAGATTAGACTGGATTGGGGATGATATATTTAGGTTAGTTTCACTTAAAGTATCTGTGAGATATATAAATAGAAAGTTGACTGTAAGATTTGAAATCTCTGCAGAAAGCACTGGGCAGGAGATAGACCTATGGCATGCCAGTTGCCATTCATTGATTTATCAGAAGTAATTACAGGTCATTCTTCAAGGTGCTTTTGGGTGGGCTCAAACTGCCAACCTTTCAGGTACAAGCTAAGCATATTAACTATTTGCATTACATACGAAAAATTTCATTTGTGGCATAGGTGATTTTTCTGTTTTACAAATAAGTACTGTTTGTTCTGTGGTTACATTCTGGTATGTGTTATTAAACAGGTTTTTGTTAAATGTTATGGAATCTATTCTTGGTTTGTCTAGAGAAACAGAACCAGTGATATAGACATAGAGAGATATTTACTACCATAATTCTGACACGGTGAGGCCTGTTGTTGTTAAGTGCCATTGAGT